GAACAAAGGGAAGCCACAGATGGATTGTTATGCTAGACTTTCTGAAAATCAGCATCCAGGTCAAGAATGAGGGTGAAAACACAGTTTAAAAGGTTTATGTACCCTGTTCCTAGTTTACTGTTAATTCTGTCCTGATATTAGACTTTTCTATGATTAATATGATATAATTTATACCAATAACATAATTAATATTACTATTAATTATAAGGATGATGATATAGAAGTGACCTTTGGAGAGATCACACCTAGGATTTTGCTTTCTAAAGCATCAGCAACAGGAATGGTGGGAATTCTAGGGAAAGGAAGAAAGGACTTTGGTGTACATTTTGAATCATCTATCAAATAGATCTAGTACCTAAACAAAATAAAGTGGCACTGTGATTTCTGCATCTCATCAGGCATCTTGTAGGCCACACCATGATACTCATTCTGAAGGGCAAATGCCAACTAGAAATCCCCTCATTCTTGCTCTCACTTAGCCAATGTTTTTCTGTAGTATTCAAGAGTACATAATGTCAGCAGCCAGGTCCTTGTTGCATTTCTTGCTGTCGCTACATTTAGACACTCTAAATTTGTATAACTTTTGTGAAGGTTCAGCCCCAAGCAGTAATTCTCCCAGTAAATCTTTCCCTGCTGGGCTTTCAGCATGTAGACATAAACAAAAGCAAGACTCAACTGCAGATGTACTGCCCATTGTCCCCCAGTAACTAAGATATTAATGCATAGTTGGCGGAAGTTTAATCTCTAGCTCTGGCAACCCTCTGTGTGCCCCAAATTCCAATGACCCCAATTACTCAGGCCCAGATACCCAGAAAAGTAAACTAAGGCAGCTCCTTCTAGTGCCTTTTCCTATAATGTGATCTCCTTGGGCCCAAGATCACAGATGAATCCAAGGACTGTTTGCTTGCCAAGGCCCAAAAAGAGACAGTGGTATCCATCAGGAACTTAGAAGCTATTAATCTCAGGGCTTTCCTTTCAAACTGAAGAATGCCCCTTCACTGGTTCCTGTTATTAATGTATAGAGCCAATTCAAAGCACATTGCTTCCATGTCAAGATTTCACTTTGGGATTTCTTTATCTTTTCCAGCCTGCTCGTGCCTCATAGCAGATGGTCTGGTACTGGGGGCAGGGGAAGCCAGGAGTAAGAGGAGGGGAAGAATGGGAAAAGAAAAAGAATTAATGATTTTTGTAACTAAAGTCTGCTTTATGTCAAATAGGGAGCTCCATCTAACCTGCATAAAAATCTGAAGTTTCAAACAGCATTCATTCACTGGGCTTCATTTCTATTCAACAAAGATGTATAGGACATCTGCTTAAAGTGAGGTACCACCCTAGACTACATAGGAGATGTGGTTGTTGGATTTTAACAACATTTGGTATAGATGGAAAATGAGTGATAGACAAAATTTAGAATCACAAGGGAATGCAATACATAATCTAGTAGAAGCACAAGAAAATAAAGTATATGACAGCACAGATATCTCATGGGACAGCCCAGAAGTCTCCTCTGGGATTTCAGAACATTGCCAAATGGCAGAGTATTATGAATTATAAGGGAAAGCACCAACACATTCTTCCTATACACTACTTGAGCTCCTTCTCCAAACCATAAGGCTGTAAAGTGTGTCAAATATGGTTTCTGCTCTAGCTTGTCATATGAATAGAGTACGCCCTTATCTCCATTCTATCATGTAAAGAGAAAAGCACTACTCATCTCATAATCTATCCCTGACAGGTAAATTAAATAAACAGAAGGAATCCACCTAGAAATTTCTCTTCCTGCTGCCTTTTCCCAGATGTCATCTTCCTATAGAAGAGGTGAAACAGATGAAAATTCTTGCCTATAGTACCAAGAAATATGTGGAGAAACATGAGGGTGTCAGGTACCTGGTTGGAGCTTGAGATGGGGGGCTCAGCAGAATGCGAAATGGTAGAAAGCATTGTTCAGGCCAAACTCTATCAAACAGCTTCAGGAGAGAGCTAGTTAAATGGCAGTTTCTGTGGTCAAGCAGCCTGCGCTTTGGCACTTGACCCTGGCACTTCATCTTGGATATGTGGGTTTACCTTTCCGGACACCAATTTCCTCAATTGTATAACATAGATCATGATTCCTAGTTGATAAAGGATGTCATGGGACGTAAGTGATATAATTCTTATATAAAGATAGGAGATAGTACAAGTTCAGTAAACACTTCACAATTCTATTCAGAGTTGGCCCTGATTGTGCAGGCATATGTTATTGAGAAAAAAAAAATTATTGCTGTGCACCTAGCTGGGATTCCATGACAGAAAGGAGGGATGAAAAGGGGAGAAAAAAAGATTGACTAGAAGATTACAGAGGTTGGCTTTTTACTAAAAACAAAACAAAACAGAAATCCCTTTTTAAACTTCCAGAGCATTCTAGTAGGAGGCTGGGCCTCTGCAGTAGAGTGGGAGTAGTTAGAGTGCATCTGATACTAGGAGGCCTCCTGGGGGTAGTCAGAGCTGACTGAGAGACTAGTGTGGTGTACCAGACCTGTAATGTTTACCAGAAAGCAGGACTAAAGATGGAACGTTCAGAGATGGGGTTCTAGAATGAAGAGGAATCAAAGGGAAATTGTTGTATGCATACATATGGAACAGAGGGGCTCTCAAGCTGCAGGGGCAGATCCTGTGGTTATAGGTTCCAGTGATCATTTAAACACTTGCAGTCATATGGAAAAAGTTAGAAAGGCTTGGGAGGGCAAGAGGGTGGTACTCTGTATTTCTCCTTACCAGGAAAGAGACAGCAACTGTCCTCCCTACTGTCTTTTAAACCACCACTTTTCTTTTCATTTTTCCCTCACTCTCCACCCCTCTTCCCTTCCTCCTCTTTCTTATAATGCTGTCTCTTGGTTAGTTGTGATTACAGTATTAATGTCCTTATATACAGGTTTCATCCAACTTCATGCCTTTGAATTCCTAAATGAGATGACTTGGATGGCAGATACTATATGATCATCACCATAAAACTCAAATAAAAAAGATGTCACCACAAGCTTCAGGTAAGAGACAGTTGCTATAGTCTAAGTGTTTGTGTCCCCCTAAAATTTATCTGTTGAAATCCTAACCCCCAAGGGGATGATATTAGGAGGTGGGGCCTTTGTGAGGTGGTAAGATCATAAAGGTGGAGCCCTCATGACAGAATTAGTGCCCTTATGTCCTTTCACCACATGAAGGTACAGAAAAAAAGACCACACCTACAAATCCAGAAGTAGGCCCTCCCAGACACTGAATGTAATGGCATTTTGATCTTAGAATTCCCAGCCTCTAGTAGTAGGAGAAATAAACGTTTATTGTTTATACCTCACTCTGTCTATGGTATTTTGTTATAGTATCCTGAACGGAATAGGACAAATTTGAGGCAAACAAATAAATCTGTACATGAGTAAATACAGAAATTGATTAGATTTGAAAAGAGTTAGAAAAGAATACACCTGCACCTCTATTGGAGGGCCAATGAGCAAACTCAAATGATTTCACAACTCAGGAGTTGCAACTTCTCTCCAAGTCCCTCATTCCTCCTTCAACTTTCTTTATCTTTCCTCCTTGGAGTTAGTGTCTTGGTTAGTCAGTGCTGCTATGTTAGATCTTAAAGCTTCATGCACCAAACCTCCCATCCTGAAGATTTTGTGCGGAGGACACCAACAGGAAAGTCTAAACCAAAGCTGTTACTCTCTAACATTTAACCAAGAATGGACAGAGGAACCACACTGGGTAGGCCCTCTGGAGAAACATATCCCAATCTAAAGAAAGGTTGTAGATATGGCATTTCTAATAGGGTAGAATGTCTGTGGATGAACACTAAATTTTCTTTCTCTTGAGAGAATCTTTGCTCTCATAAGGAAACTGTCTAGGGAATACAGGCATCACTTCAATTATAAAAATCTCTCTTGGAAAACCAAGAGAGCACAATATAAAAATTTGCTCTGATCCCTGGCTTCACTCTTCTGCTTTTATCACTTTAGGATCATAGTATCTCTCATAGTTTACAGCTAAGCTTTATAATATATATAGCATTAAAGTCCACAGCTATTTCTAGATTATTCTCCATCAGTGCATGTTACAAAGATTCCATTTCATTTTGCTAAACTATTTTGAGATATTGTTTTATCATGATGAAATACTAAAAATTTAGTTGTCCTGCACCATGATTTTTACTTTTTTGTGGCTTTTGAGAGATATTTAAATGATCACCTGTTGAGATGTGTCAAGAAATGTATTAAGGTCCAATCACTCAGAAAGTAGTGGAAAAAAGTCAGACAGAAAGACAAAAAGAAGCAGAAAGATCAGGAACAGGATATGGTATGAGGTATGAAAAGGAGAGAGAAGAGATTTATTCAGGGAGATAAGTTTTAGCAGATCCATGTACTGAGTTCCCTAAGCCAGCAGGGTCAATTTAGAATTGATCTGGGAGACAGAAAGTTTGAATGTATTCTATACTTGTTTCTACTCCCCACCAGCATGCTATATTTTGATGATTGGTCTTTTGGCACAAGACTATAAAATGAATAACTGTGAAGGCAGAAAGCATTGCACATATTAAACAGTGGTTGGTGCAACACACATTTAGTGTAGCTTACAGTGATCTGCATTTGCTCCATTTCAACCCACTGGACTGCTAGATAATGGGAATTGGAGCCTGAATGTCTAGGCTGGGGTAGAATACACCCCCTGGAATTTCTTTTGAATCTCTATTTATCAAGCTCCCTGACTGATGTGAAAATCCATACAGCAGAGACAGAATCAACATTTTTTTTCTTCCAAAAGAAAATACTCCTTTTTCAGGTAGCTCATCCTCTAGGCTGCAGACTGAACACAATTTTTTTAAGTCTAAGCATTAATTAGAGAGATAAAGAAATGTATCTCCCTTTGTTCAGAAGGAGAATTCTATTGAGCCTTTGACAATGAAGCTGCTTAAGGGACAGCCTGAGTTGCTGTTTCTGCACAGAGCTTCTGTAGAAGAAAGATAAAGAGCTCACCAGTGGAGGACTCTGGCTTCCTGCCATCTTCTTGCTGTTTCCTCTGGACTCCAGTGGGAAGTAGAGTCCTAAAAAGTAAATAAAAGGTCCATGAAGGCCAAAATGAAGCCTGTGACTTGAAGCCACACACCAGAATGCTCCACTGGGGCACCTAATTGCCTCTGAAAGTGTTTGTGAGTTTTTGTTCCCATTTTAGGCCCTGCTGCTTCCCCCTAGCATCAGCTGACAGATTATAGCGAGTGCACAAAAAGACAGGTCACTCAGGAACCCAGCCAAGATGGGTTTCTCATAGGCACATAAGGCTCCTTGAGGCCATACTACTAGTTTATCAGGTGCCTGGGAGTGAAAGGGGGGTCTAGTTTGCCCATCCACAGATAGTTTGCTTTAAACAGTGTGCTTGATAACAGGGAAGAAGCCATAAACAGCAGTTCTCTCAAGGTCACCTCCACTGAGTACTGAATGCAGGGTTGGGGATTTCTCCCAACAATGTGCCAAGTGCTAACCCCAGGCAGCTTTCTGACTCTAATTATGAGTCCTTTCCCTGAATGGATTATCCAGCTGAGCCACTCTTCTGCAGTCCTTGCGGTCTTTAGGCCATTATCATACATCTCTCTAGATCCTGCTAGGCCAGCCAAAACCTTTGCTTTTTCCTTTTTGGTGGGAGGAGGGATGAATAGACTTAAAAGCTTTTAAATGTATATGTATGTATGTATATGTGTGTGTGTGTGTGTGTGTGTGTGTGTGTGTGTGTGTGTGTATATATATATATATATATATATATATATATATATATATATATATATATATATATAAAATATTGCACAAATAGTTCAGGGTCCAGCACAGTGAATTTTTACATCTAAAGATAAAGGTGACAGATTCCCAGATCAAAAATTTTAAAAATTTCTCTACCCCAAAAGTTTTCCTGCTCCCATCCAGGCACTATCACCCAAGAGTATGCATCAATTCATTTTATCTGTTTTTTGGGGGGGCGGAGGATTACTAGGGATTGAACTCAGGGGCATTCAACCACTGAGCCACATCTCCAGCCCTATTTTGTATTTTATTCAGAGACAGGGTCTCACTGAGTTGCTTAGTACCTTGCCTTTGCTGAGGCTAGCTTTGAACTCTAGATCCTCCCGTCTCCGCCTCCCAAGCCACTGGGTTTACAGGCATGTGCCACCGCACCTGGTCATTTTATCTGTTTTTGTGCTTTCTACATTGAACCCTATAATATGCATTCTTATGTATGATTTCTTTTGTTTAATATTTTGTTTTAGAGGTTCATTTAGATGATTAAACATAGTTTTATAATGTTCATTCTCATTTCTGCTTATTGTATATTCATCCAAAGTAATACTGATTTTTATACAATCTAGGACTGAGGGGAAATTGGCTTTTTCCCTGTATTAGCTGTCATAAATAGGGTTGCTATGAACATAAGTATTTTGAAGAACATATAAGTATTCTCATGTACTTTATCTTCCCCATATCTGCGAAGCTCAATCAAGCCTGATTCCAAGTCTCACTAGATAGCAGCTGACAGGACTAATTAATTAGTGTGATTTTCAAATACCAAGTACAACAAAACATAGGATAGCTCTCATGTTCACACCCTACCTAATCTCCTCCCAATGAGTGTGAAGTTGACCTCTGACTTGCTTTTAAGTAGCAGAAGATGGCAAAAGTGATGGGCTTTCACTGTTGTAATTAAGCTGCATTATTGTTATATATAGCTGTGATGCTTAAATGTCACTACCGTGATTACACACACACACTTACATGTGTGCACACTGTAAAAGGGCCTATAGACAGGGCCACATACTAAGGACCTGCAGACAGCCTCTAGTTGCTAAAAGCAGTCTCCAGTCCCTATTCAGCAAAAGAAAGGGAACCTGAGTTCAATATCTGCAAGGAGATGAAGTCTACCAAAAAATTGAATGAATTCATGAATAGATTCTTCCCTAGTTGAGATTCTAAATAAGGACACAGGTGGCTTGATTGCATCCTTATGAGACTCTGCACAGAGGACCTACTTAAGTCATGCCCTAAGTGGCCTACAAAGACTATGAGATAATAAATGTGATCTATTTTAAGGCACTAACTTTATGGCAACTCATTATATACTGTATTTAGTTTCTTATTACTGCTTTAAAATATCACCATAAATCTATTACTTAAAACAACTTATGTCTATTATTTTAGATTTCTGGATTTCAGAAATCCTAAAACTAATGAGATGGCTGGGTTGTGCTTCTTCTGAAGGCTCTAGGTGAGAATCTGCTTCCTTGCCTGTTCCATCTTCTAGAGGCCACCCACATTCCTTAGCTCATGCCCCTTCATCCACCTTCAAGGCCAGCAGTACAGAATCTTCAAGTCTTTATCTCTCTAATCTCTTCTTACTTCCTCATAACTCCTTTCCTCATTCTGACCTTCCCATCTTCCTCTTATCAAGATCCTTGTGATTATACTGGGCTCACCCTGTATAATCCAGAATTGTCTCCCCATATCAAGATCTTTAACTTAGTCACATCCACAAAGTACCATTTGCCATATAACACATTCAACTGATTTTGGGGAATTCATATGCAGACATCCTTGAAGGTCATTATGTTACCTACCATGTGCTGCAATAGAAAACTAATATATCATTTACCAAGAGAATCACTTTCTTTTCCAAAATGCTATTCATCTGATTATATCATATAGTAGGGTTGCAGAAATTGTCCAAAAACCACCAAGTCCCTCCTAAAGCTTCTGTTATATCCTAAAATTTATATATCGCTTCAATATGTCATTTAATGCTTTCTGAGTTCATCCTGGAAGATCACTGATAGAACACTTTCATACCATATGAGGAAAAGTGGGATTTTTCCCAGTTTTTATGAGGTAAAGATGAGTATTTACAGAGGAACATACTTAAGAAAGTAACTTTCTTTTTACAGGCCAATGCTTTTGAGAAGAAACGGAGCCAAGGGCATATGCCAGTTTTCTTTTAAGATTCTCCTAAACTGCCTCAAAATTCTACTACCAACCAATTGTCCCTATATGATCACATCTGACAATGAAAACCAAAGGTTGGGATGACAGAAATGGAAGTATGCTATCATAAACGTGTTTTTTAATACTATACAGAAAGAGATAGAATATAACTTCAAGTTAGACTGTGATAAGTTAAAGATGTTTACTATAAACCCTAAAGTAAACTCTAGAATAATACTAGGAGTTATAGCTAATAGGCCATCAAAGGAAATGAGATTAAATCATAATTCAAAAGAATGAAAAAATAAAATAGGAAACAAAGAACAGATGGAACAAATAGAAAGCAAATAGCAAGAGGATAGATTTAAACCTAACCATATCAATATTTGTATTATATGTAAATTATTTAAAAATCTGAATGTAAAGTCAAATTTGTTGAATTGGACAGAAAAGCAAGACCATATGTCCTCTATAAAAATGTTTTATATCTAGAAAATAAGTTGAAAGCAAAAAATGGGAAAATATATATCATGTTTATACAAACTCATATTAACACCAGAAAGATTCAATTTCAGAATATTACTAGTAATAACTAAAGTCATTACAGAATTATAAAGTGTTCATGTCATTAAGATGACATAATAATCCTAAACATTTATACAACTAATAATAAGCTTTATAAAACAAAGACTGAGAGGAAATAGACAAATCCAAAATTATAGTTAAGTATATTAACACCCCTCTCTCAACAACTAATAGAATAAGTAGGCAGAAATCAGGATATAAAAGTTTTGAACAATGCTGCCAATCAGTTTATCCTAATTGAAATTTATACAGCATTCCACTCAATAGCAAAATACAAACTATTTTCGTGTACATCCAGAACATTTACCAAGACAGACTACATTCTGGGGCATGAAATATGTTTCCATGCATTTCAAATAATTCAAGTCACAAAAAGTATATTTCTTGTTTACAATAAAATTGAATGATAAATCAGTATAGTATTTCTCCCGTGTCTGTGGGGCATACATTGCAAGATCCCCAGAGGGTGCTTGAATCTATGGATAGTACCAAACCATACACACACACACACACACACACACACACGCATATACATGTGCATACATATATAACCAAACCATACATACACATTCAAATACACACACATACACATATGGCTTCTCTTTAGCATATAAGAATTGCTGGTATCACTAGTCTTCTTATGCTTTGGGGACATTATAAAGTGAAATAAAGGTTACTTGAATACAAACCACTACAGTTCTATGACAGTCAATATAATAACCAAAATGGCTACTAAGTGACTAACAAGTAGGTAGGATATACAGTGTGGATGTGCTGAACAAAAGGATGATTCACATTCCAAGCAAGAGAGAATAGGACAGTGCAAAATTTCACCATACTATTCAGAATACTGTGCAATATAAAACTTATGAATTGTTTATTTCTTGAATTTTCCATTTAATATCTTCAGATTGTGGCTGACCAGGGTAACTGAAACTGTACAGAGCCAAAGTGTTGATAAGGAGGGACTACTGTAATGGAAAAAATTATGAAAAAAAGATCCCCACTATTTGGAAATTAAATAACACACTTCTAAATCACTCATAGTTCAAGGAATAATTCAAGAAGAAAATTATAATGTATTATGAATAGAATGAAAATGAGAAAAAAAAACTTATATCAAAGTTTTGAGTCACTACAAAGGCAGTCCTTAGAGGGAAATTCATAGCAATCAAGATCTATGTTAGCAAAAAGGACACATTTCAAATGAATGACCTTAGCTTCTACCTTAAGAAATTAGACAAATAACATATAAAACAAAATTAAGAAGAAAGAAGATAAAATCAGAGCCGGGAGGACAGGGATGGAGGAATTACAAAGGAGTATGAAGACACTTTGGGGGTGTTGGATATGCTCATCTTAGTTATGATGATGGTTTCACAGATACACATACAAACATGTCAAAACTTATTAAGAGTACACTTTCAATGTGTGTGGTTTTATTAGGTATACCAATTACATCTCAATAAAGCAGTTTCTTAAACAAGCCCAGAAAAAAACAGTAAGTGTTCTCTTTGTTTCAAGTTGACAGTTTATTTCTTTAAGTACCTACCCAGTTCCTTGAGCCTTTTTCCAGCTTAACAATGATCCATCACAAAAGAGAGGAGGATGAAAATGCAGGTGGCTATTTGCCAAATGGATATAATAAAACCTGAATCTGCTAACTTCACAGAGTCCTGTGAAGATCAAAAGCGATAATGAACAGAACTCATTACAAAGTAAGAAAGTGTTATAAAAATGTTAGGGCTTATCTCACTAGTTCCAGATTTCCTGGTGAAGTGAATGATAGTACTAACTAGGGCCAAATTTGGAAGTGCACAGAATGTCTTTGATCTTCTATCCTGGCCCCGATGTCCTTATGCTGAGTTTCCCAAGACCAGGGAAGACTTAAATAGGCCTTATATTGCCAAATCTTTCTCTTTTCCTCCCTGATAAACTCTTAACAAGCTTTCAATTTCCCCTAGAGACCCTGTTCTCAACTAATAATAATAGGTGTTAAATAAGAAATTTAGAGAGGTGAATCTCTTAAAAGGTATTTATTGATATGTTATTGTTGATTCTGAGTGGCTTACTATGTCTTAACACTTGTTAAATACTAATTTCAACAACATTCTTCATTGCCAGGCTAAGGGGGTGTTATTTGGAGGTAGACAGCCCCTTACTCAGTTTACTCCTTTCAGAGACTGAAAACGTCTTGGAAATTCCTTCCACTAAGTGTACAATACTTCAGTTTTTCTGCTCTAGTTATTTTATTACAAGCCAGGGATCAATTACATAAGCATTCCTAGAATGCCTATAAATCTCCTCTCTCTCCCCCAACCCATGTGTGCACACCTTTAAAAATAATAAGAAAACAAAGCAGCTCTAATCAGTAACAGCATTGCGATGTACAATTTTATCCCTTATATATCACTTTGGGATTATAATTAAATCGTTAAAATGCATTGCTAATCTGTAAATCTGGGCTCATTAGCATAAGTGTACTCCATAATTACTAAACACAGGGTGCATGCTTGTGACTTTAATAGACTTTTCGACTATTAAGCCTGTCTGAATGTGACTCTCCACATGGTGGCCCAAGAGCTTCTAAAAGAACTTTCTTCAATTTTGTTCTATTGTACCAGGCCAGTGATATTAGTTTTCTTTTTTTTCAGAACCAGTAACAGGTTGACACAGATCACTGTACGACTCTAATAATTACTATTAAAAGTTTTTTTAAAAACATATGTAATCTGAAATAGTCTATCTCTATGATTTCAAACAAAGTATAAAATATAGACTTATTGATAGATTCAGTCCCTGTGAGTCTTCCCGAGAAAATTATCAAAAGAGACAATCTAGTTAGCTTGCAACTTTACTTGTCCTTGAATCTTTCATCACTAAATTTTTTTTGGATGCCATAGTTATAGATTCACTTCATTGAAGATGGATTTTTGGTTTGTTGGTTACATGTTTGTTTTTATGCTATTAACTTTCAGTTTATTATGGTTCAAGAATGAGTCAATAATGTGACATCCAGGAATATTTTTTAAAGACATTCACTGTACTGTGCTGAGCTCCACTGCCATGCAGGTGTTCACATTCTCACCAGGCAAGTCATAGTTCACTCTGTACCACATGTTCCTCCCTGGGGCCACAGCATTTTGTTGCAGGAATCCAGTCCCCTCCACCATGGCTCTATAATTCCACCAACCTGCCCAGCCATAATCACCAAGCTGGAGAAAAAGACTTGAGATTAAAAGAAAACTATCTCTTCTTTCCCATTGCCTATCTTTTATCATCAGCTATATTGGTACCTTTCTGTCCTCTCTCTAGGCTTGTGATCTGGCAGCAGTCTTGGGAAAACACAGTAGGAGAAGCTGGTGGTCTCTTGAAATTGGAAATATCTCAATAGTTTATCCTTTTCTGGCTCCAACGTCAGTGGATGGGTGGAATGAGATTTGAAAACTTGCTTTTTCTTTCTTGAAAAAATTCACCAATAGGTAGGAAATCCTTTCTCTTTCTTTTTCTATTTCTTCTCTTCTCTCTCTTACCACTACCCACAAAAGAAAAAAAAAAATCTAATGAACGCAATAAATGTTTTTTGGAGTGATGAAATACTAAATATAACTTCTAAATCTAAACTCAAGAGTTCCTGAATTCTCCCTAAAATAACTAGCTGATGTGATTCCTCCTTTATTCTTTTTTGAAAGTTTTATTTTTAACTAATAACAGTGATCCTACTGTGCAATAATACAACAGAGCTTCTTGCTTTTATCCAGCTATAACAGTACCCACTGTTCAATCTTTCCCCATCCCTCCCCCCCTCCTATTTTACTTAACAAGGTGCCCTCCAGCTTTATCCATGTCAATACAAATAACAGGATTTTATCCTTTTATGGCTTAATAGTATTCCTTTGTATATACATAGGACAGGGCTTCAACACTGTTCCTACAAGATCTTTGGAGACAAATAAGCAAATTAATCAGTTCTGGACTATCATCAGAAGATGTGATCCCTTGCTATTGCTTTCATTTCCTAAAGTCCTGGACTTTGGTATGTGGCTATAATAGTATTTTTAAATCAATCTAGGGGACGGGGTAGATTCTCCCTGGCAAACTATTCCACATATATTTCTCCTCAGAAGAGGCATGCTGTAGAGTTGAAAATAAAACTAGCTGGAAATCATTCTGGCCTTTAAGTTTCCAAAGCTGAAGCCCTTAGGAAAAGGGGATTCTCTAGTAAAGACAAAATGCCTTAGCCCGACTGTGAAGGGAGATAGTTTTTCCCAAGTTGTGGAAATAAGAGAGAGGGATAGTGTCTACCTCACTTTCTGACCCTACCTGTAGGAAAAGAAGAATCCAGAAGTCTTCTTACGGGCCAGGAAACAGCAAGCCTCCACAGAAGAAAAGGCAATGTGGACCCCAAGTGAAGAGAGAGAGGAGAGATGTGGGCTGAGTACACACACCTAGTAGACCTTATCTTTCTTCCTCACCTCCTCTCCACTGCCTGGAACTCTTCTGTACCTGAAATATTTTTATTTTAAAATTATTTCATTGATATAATTATAGATAATAGTGAGATTCATTGTTACATATTCATACAATACTTCTGTTCAGAAAAGCTTCATCATGTAAAGCAGGAATGCAGCCACCAGTGTAAGTCTGTAGTGAATATTCCCTATTAGTACCTCAAAATATGGGTGTATGCTTCTCTCTCTAGATTATATGGACTTCCTATGGGTTTTCTTTAGTCTAAGGGACAAGAAAAAATAAATACTCCACTTTCCTGGGAGGAAGTACCAGAAAGACCGAGATAGACTATAGGACATGGACAAAATCTGTATATTGTAACATTCTTTTTCATCGTAATGGGTCATTCATTTTAAAACACTTATTTGGCATAAAATATTTATTTTTAATCTTGTGTTTCAAAATATGTATATAGTTTGTTTTGAAATTCGGCATTAAATACCTTTTAAATTCCAAAAGGTATTGAAAAGCACATTATATAAAAATATAAAATGCTTTCGGTTTACCTTAATATTAATGTGACTTTGTGCAGTACCTAAAGAAAGCAAAATTGGAAAAACTGGGCATGGCACATTTGATCCCATGCAAGGATTAGAATTTCTGCACTGAAATGAAAATACTTAGAGCTTTATGTAAATGAAACATAAACCATGGAATCTCGGTGGAAATTGTTATAATTCTAAAAGCATTCACTTTAATAAATTCTGGAAGAAACATCATCTGGTAATGTGTCAGATCTATAGGGAAAAAAAGAATATGAAGCTTCTGGATAAATTTTACAGATATATTTTTCCAATAATTACTTTGCTTTATTTTTATCTTCTTGGGTTATACTTTTTGATATTTTTAATTAGATTTTTAAAGTTTGAATTCATATAGCATAAAAGTATTTACCTGAAAGCCTTCAAAAACCAGAAATTCTACAATGGAATGTATGTAATTAAAACAAAGACACTGGTAAATATATACAATGTAAATATGAAACATTACCTACAAATCTTAAGGCAAAACCTTCAGAATTTATATTTACAGGCATTGTTTTTATTAATTATATAGAATTCTAATATTCCAGGTATCACCGATCCCTAGCAGAAAAATTAAAGTCTATAAATGTCACTGCATTAAAATGCTATTCAGAAAAAAATCATTTAATAAACTATAAATTTTCATCAATGGCATATAATATGATATATATACTTGTTAAATGAATGTTACAATGACACAAAGAGAAGAAGAGCAAAAAATCCAAACTTTAATATAAGGACATAATTCAATAGAGTTAAAAATAATTGAATGCATAAAAAGTGAAGTTCTAGTATTACTAGAAATTAAATACCAGTAGTCCTGAATAGTTTATTCAGCTATAAATCATATATATGAATCATGCACCATTGTGTATGAAACAGAAACTTGGAATAGGAGCATCTGAATCTTTCCATCATCACCAGGTAGACAGGTGATGGTGCTCATCCTTTTTATTTCCTGCCACTACCAGGAAAATTGGTGGTAATGGAAAGGCTTCACTTTCTGAAAACTAAGAAAGAGCTGGGCATGACTGCACACACCTGTAATCCGAGTGGCTCAGGAGGCTGAGTCAGGAGAATCATGAGTTCAAAGCCAGCCTCAGGAAAAGTGAGGCCCTAAACAACTCAGTGAGACCCTGTATCTAAATAAAATACAAAATAGGGCTGGGGATGGGGCTCAGTGGTAGAGTGGCCCTGAGTTCAATCACCAATAAAAAAATAAATAAATAAATAAAAACTAAGAAAGGCCAACTGCTAAGAGACAATACCCCTTAAATTGAAAGCAACAAGTAAGAGGATGAAACTATCGATCAGACAAATACTTATTTAACCATATAGAATGAGGAGTTATGAATGATCTTAGAATAAATAAATCTACCTGCATATTTTTAGTGGAATACAGCTCAGAACAAAAGGAACTATATAGAAAATCTTGAACTTTATTCTACACCTTTCTTTACCAGATTAAGCAAAGACTTTTATATTTACTGTGTTAGGAATAAAAATATTTAGAAATGAATACTATACTATTAGAAATGAGGTGAAAATAACAATGTGAAAGAAGAAAAACCACAAATCTTTTCCAGTTCTGTGCACTAAAATAACCAGAGAGCAATGATACCCCCACAGTGCCCTCTAGTGCTCAGATGCTATTTTCCCACTGAAAAGGCTTCCTGGAGAAATGAGTGATTCAAAGTCTGAGGAAGAAAGGTACAGGTGAGCCTAGAAAATCTTGTTGTGCTAGAAAGCAACAGAAGTTCCAAATATTAGTGGATATTGTTAGAAGAACACAGGAGCAAATTTTGGAGCAAATTCTTAAAAGGCTCCTACTAGACAAAATTGTGACAATCTGAACATCAAGAAAACAAAGAATAATGACTGTAACTGACAGAACTACAGTAACTCTATGAGCAGCCATGCTTACACAATGATACACAAAGAGAAACAGTAAAAAATTATTCTAAAAGTAGGTGAATGGACTGCGATACATTTCTATGAAGTCCTATTTCTCATTCATGAGGTTTTATTGATTAATCTATTGTATCAATGGAGATTATAGAAATCAGTATGGTAAATACATCAGTTTAAGGGAATTTTCTGACTCCAGGAAAATATCAGAATGGCCCATAAACTGTGATTTCAAATCATACAAAGCCAAATAAGATATAAAAATAGTTATAAAATTAGGTATCCTTAAGATACAGATGGTCCTATGAACATGAACAAATGGGAAAGGTATTAACATAACTTAAGATTCATCCACTTCCAAATTTTTAGGATGAGGAGAAATATGTTAAAATATGATAAGGTTTTATCAACCAAGATGGAAGCTACACAGTTATTACATAATGTATGCAACTTTACATGAGAGAAGGGAACGCAGTCCCTGATCACTCGCCTCTTGAAATTATACAATCACTCATAAAACAATCAAAAATAGGGTCCAGGATGCCTTTTCAGAGTTGTACATAAGAATCCAATAGGCCTTTAAGCCTAAATCTTTGGTGGCAAATGTTCTCATTGATTTGGTGTGATAATTCTTTCTTATGTTAGATAATTTTTAATTAGTTGTAGAAATGTTTAAAAGAAGCAATCCATTGTATTTATATTATTAATATGCCTTGCATATTTGATATTTTTATATCTGATTTATGAGAAATTCATCTACTAAATGACAGCCTTATAACTGGAAATACATAATTAATTTGGAGTGATGATTTCAAAGTGCATTTTTGGTTTTTCAGTATTGAAACATCTAAGACCTTTAGGTTCATCATTTTTATATAAAATTTATTTCATTTTTAAAAAGTGTCTCATTCCCAAGCAGATTTTCCAGATAGCTAAAATATTTCAATAGGACATGCTAGAGGTAACACAGCTGCTCACACTGCTTCCCACACAGACTGACAGTCCACAGCAGAAATCCCTCTATTCTGTCACCAGTCCCTCCCTATGATAGCCATACAATAAACCTCACTACGAAGAAGGCGGCTTGGACATCAACCGCCTATTTCCAGTCTATTCCTCAAACCCTGACAGTAATCCTGTGGCCTTTAAAGTCTTCTTCCTTGTCCTAGCTCAAGTACCCCACTTAAGGTAAATATGAGTAAATGGAACAGGTGATAGAATCAATCAAAAAGGCCTAATTTAGCTGGGTACAGGGGCACACACCTGTAATCCCAGCTGCTTGGGAGGCTGAGGCAGGAGGATTGCAGGTTCAAAGCCAGCCTCAGCAATTTAGCAAGGCCCTAAGCAACTTAGCAAGACCCTGTCTCTAAATAAATTATTTAAAAAAGGGCTGCTGATGAGCTTCAGTGTTTAAGTTCCCCTGGGTTCAATCCTCAAAATGCAAAAAAGGCCTAATTTATATTGAAATTTTCCAGAATAGCATTTTCTCAGTGTGTGTTAGCTACTCTCTTTGTGTTAGGTAGGATACAGGGAAGCCATTACAAATTCAAGATAGGACATGACTGTATTCAAAGTCCCTTTACCTACCTGAAAATTTATTTTATTGACTGTTTACAGGCAATAGGATACTCCCTTGTCTTTGTTATAATGTGCCTTTTCTTCTGAATGGCCTAAGGCTTTCCTCTGCAGTAGGGACAGTATTACTTTTGTTGTTTTTAACAAATGGTCCAGGAATACATTTTCCTCTGGGGAGTTCATCTTAACATGAAATCAGGTCATGGTTTTTATTTTACATGACAAAATTTTCAACATGTATCTAAAGCTATTAAAAAAAATCCAATGTCAAATACATATTCTTTACCACCCTCAAAGCTCTGGCAAAGTGAAAGCAGAAGTAAAATCACAACATTAAGCAAGAACTAAGTACATTATGCCATGAAACAGACTGTAAGTGGCCTAAAGCCCTTCAAATTATGAATTAACCTGTGACTTTCAAGACACTGGAGTATGACACTCAGCCTACATGAAATTGTCCTCCAGCTAGCAGTAATTTCCCTCAAATGTTTAAGGATACATTTCATTCTTATAGTCCAGTGATACTATAGTTCCTTTCAATGTGTTTGGAGGCTATAGACCAACACTGGACTCCACATCAAAAATATCCATACCAGCTAGGGACTATGTAATGATATTCTAGAAAACATGCTATCTCAAATTCACACATACCAGATCCTATGAAGTTCCCTAGACCCACTCACCCTACTGTGCAGACCCCAGACCACCCACAAGAAACATATATCTAATTGCAAGTCTAGCCTACCTGTGAATCAGAGAACAAAGAATTCAAGCCACAACTCCATCAAAACAGGGCAAACTTGATTCCTCTATAAACCACAGATACACCTAAGATTTTAAAGGCTAGATGGGAACCCAAAGCCTTGTGTCATCTTTAATCCAGAAGAGAAAACGTATCTATCCATGACTCAGTGAGATGAAGATCATAATAACGTCCCAAAGAAATCCAAGGGCAGATAAATTCAGGACTAGCTATATGAACATGGA